AATGATATATTGGATGGCCTATTTTGGATTTGTAGATCTTCCAAAACACTTTTCAATTTCAACTTTTCAAAGTTATAAGTCATTTTTAGTTCATTTTTGACCAATCATGGAATCTTGTGCTATGAGCTTTTTCAACAATTTGTGACCTTCTTTCTAGACTTAAAATCACATTTTGAGCAACTTTCATGTTTTGAGTTTTTCCATTTGAGGCTTGGAAATAGGAGTTTTAGGCATTGGTTAAAATGACCTATAACTGACAAATGACCAAAATACCCCTGCCTTGTTCAAACCATAAGTTGAGTTCCACAAATCCAATCAAGGACTTCTACCACTCCAATTAAAGCTAAGAACATCCTCTTCAACATTCATGTTGACCAAGAAACCATAGGAATCAACCTACTAGGGCAAAAGTTGTCTGCAAGTTGGGTGACTTTCAAGGACCCAGATTCACACACCTCTGCTGACCTGTAATTTGTCAAAACCATAACTTGAGCTCTGTAACTCCTATCAAGGACTTCCACCACTCAAATTAAAGCTAAGAACAAGCTCTACAACATTCATGTTGTGGGGAAGATGAGATATCAATCACATCTAGAGCTAAAACTGCCTGGAAGATAGGGATCAAATTAGGGTTTTTTCACTGACAATCCTCAGAAACCCTAACTCAAAACTTCTCAAACTCTTCAATCATGATGAGTTGGTCTAGGAATCCTCTTTATAACATCTCTATGCATCATTCCATGATCTAATGGCCCTTGGATTAGATCTCAACCTTCTCCAAATCTTCAGCTGATCTAGGGTTGACCCAGTCAAAACCCTAATTCTACCATTCATGGTTGAATCTTCTGAATCCTTGCATAATGACTTCTCTGGGCTTCATGAAGGCTATCAAGGCATCTCATAAGCTTTCTCAAGACATCAAGCTCATTCTCAAAGTCTCAGAATCATTTGAGGAGCACCCACAACTCTCAAGTTAGGAGGCACACAACCCTGGTTTCAAACCACTTCTCTGAAGATCTCTTGAACTTTCTGATGAAGGTATCAAATTTCAAACACTCAATGAATGAATAATTGTTGGTCAAATTTTGGGGTGCAACATAAGGGTCTATGGGAAACCTGCATTACTTTCTCTAGAACTTCCAGTCCCCTCATTTTCATCATCTTTATTATTCTTATCTTTAATTCTCATATCAGACTGAGATGTTTATGATTATGAGTTCAATAAATAGATTACTTAAAGAAATGAAAAACATTAATAAAGGTTAGAGTTTTGTCTAAATATGTGTTCCTTCACTGTCAAGAGCGACATGTGCTTTTTCATTCCTTGCCTTTATTTATTTATTTAGAGTAGCAGTAGTGGAACCATTTCATCTTTTCGACTCTGTAAAATAATAATAAGGATAAAGAAGGAATAAAGAAAGAAAAAACTATTGTTATAAAAGAGAACAAAGGTTTATAAAATGCATTTGTTTTATTTCTTTTGGTTGGTTGGTTGGATTCCTCACTGTCATCAAATGTTTCAACTTCCTTATTTTTTGACCCTTTTGGAATGAGAGCTCAAGCTACAAAATTTTGACACAAGTAAATAATCTGAACACAAAAGAAGAGCTAGTGTTTTTTACAAGTCCCTTTGTCTCAACTTCTTGGACAGTGGATATGATTTGGACATGTTCAAGATCAACCCCTAAAGACCCTCTATAATTGTGTATACTATACGTAGACGAAACTACTCTATGAGCAGATTTTTTAAATTCATTTTCTAAGGCTGACAAAGACCCATAAAAATACCATTTTGTAGGTGTTAGCTAAAAAGTTAAACCAATTTCATAAGTTGGTAATGGTGAGAGTTCAGGAATGTTAAATTCCAAAGCAAAATCATATCTATCTTTTACGTAAGAAGGAAAATTAAGTTTGAGATTTTTTTAGTGATTATTTGTTTTAGAGTAGAAGCTACATCATAAATAGTTCGACTAAGTTGATAAATTCATACACATTTTAAAAGTAATATTGGAAAGCTCAAATTTCCTTGATGTGAATGCATGCCACAACCTTTCTTTTTGGTTTGTTTCTACAGAGAAAAAAACGCAGTTTAACATTGTAAAAGAGTCGAGTTAGCCACTAAGCATCAATATGATATGATGACCACTTCTTTAAATTCTTTTGTGCATAAGTAAGAAGCTTGAAACTCAAAAAGGGTTAGATTAGTGACTTTTTGGGAATGAAAGTCTAAACATGTTTTATAGTCCCTCTCAAACAATATGGTGTTGGACAAACAAATTACCTCTTTATGAATGAAAAGAGACATTTGTAAGAGTTGGCTAAAACCAAATTGTCTAGCCACCAAATTTGGATGATAACTCATGAGCCCTAAGCTAGCTTTCCCCTTCAAAATTTTGGTCGACAGAATAATAGGTTTGAGGAAAACTATCCAAATATTGAGAGCTTGAGAATGGTGTTCAGGTGAAAAAGCTGGAAATTCTCTTCTAAACCTATATGGTCCATGACTTTGATTGACGAATGGTGCCATAGAGGAAACAAATACGAGACAATCCATCTACATAGAGAAATTATTCATGAAGGTTTCTTTGGTCGATAATCCAACATCTTTTGGAGTTAGTAACGTCAGTCTGGTACCTTCAACCTGTCTTGCTATATTAGTTGAAGGAGAGGCATCGAGAGAGGGTTCAAAAGTTGTGTTAAGCCAAAGCTACAAGAGCCACATAGGGCTAGAAATCAAGAGTTTTTCTTCAAAATTGGTTATGGTATTCAATTCAAGAGAACCAAGTCTTAAGAATTCATAAAGATAGGACATGACCAATTTGCTGAGGCAAACATTGCGCCCCTCATGAATATGGGTTACTAAAGTTATAAACTCCTTAGCTGCTTGGAGAGAACTAGAACAAAAGATGAAATGACTTAACCAGAGAGTAATAAAATCAATGTGCTCATAGTAAGAGACATCCTCAGTATGATCATGGTGGTCTTAAATATAAGCATTAAAGCTATCATGGGTGAAATAAAAATTGAATTTAATCTTATTTTTTAGAGTAGGGTCAAAAGTATCCTCGGTTGGTCGAAGGTCAGCATTGGCAGTGACATCGAAAAGAGTGGGGGTTATCATTCTACAACAAAGATGAAATGTATTTGTCAAACCTTCCCAAAAAATAAAGGGCTTAAATGAGCATGTTGGTGTTGTATTTGGGACCATTTCTTGACAATTGAATCACGTCAAAAATGCCCTGGTCTTTCCAGATTTGTCCTTTATTCTTTTCTATTTTTTTTCAACTAATTGAGATAAGCTTCATTGTTCGTAGAAGAAGAATAACGAAATATACGGTGAGGTGAACCTATAAACCCTAACTCAAAGATTTTTTTCCTCAAATGCACGAGGTTTACAGTAGGGAAAACAGGGGAAAATTTTGCTCAACGTAACAGTTTTGACAAAAGATTTAGGTAATGAACACTATCTGAGATTGAAAAGAGAATTAGTACCCGAAAAGCTCAGATGATGGTTTTTTCTTTCTTCATTGGTGGTTTAGGGATTCATGTGCGGTTTTCAAAATAGGAATGAACAATAACATCTATAACAAAAGGATTTGGGAGCTGTTGTTTTGAGCCAGAAGTAGAAGCTATTTTTCTAGAACTAAAATGAGAAGAATATGTGAAAATGAAAGGTTGCAGGATACGAGAGTTCTTAGCGTTCAGAAGAATAAAAGTGGTGAAACGAAATACATAATAGAAGAGAAAGTTATATAGTTGTTGAAATAAGACTTTTCATTTTCTCTTTAAGACTAAAATAAAACATTGGCGTTTTGAAATTTTGTGTTAAAACATTAATGATTAATGATTTTCCTTTTGTTTAATGTGGTTAATTCTGGTGGTCCACGATGGCCTTGGAAATCGCAGGCATGATGGTGGATGTACACATGTAACTGACGTGATGGCTAGGTAGTAGTAGTAATGATGATGGTGACGTATGTAAAATAGTTTGAATAATATTAGGAGTTACTAAAAAATGTCATTTGTCTGCCATAATTAAAATATTATCGAAAATGTCTTTGTTTTTTGAGGCATTTGTTAGCCTATGATTTTCGACTCAGTTTGTTCGACCAATAATATGCATAGGAGATAAATATAAGTGTCAGATACAAGTAGTTAAGGTATGCCTTTTGACACCAAACCACGAGATTTGATAAAAAAAAAACTTTTTGATAGAGGCGGTTAGAGAATTTGAAGACAATTTCAAGTGTGATAGTAGTTTGAGGCAATTTAAGAATCAAAGACACGTGGAAACATATTAGAAGACATAAGTCCACGTAACAAGATACGTACCGAATCTTGGAAGAGTGGTAGTTTTTCCAACCGTTGTTGATGTATATAATATATAAGTAAATTTGATCTCTAAGACATTCACATTTTATTTTATTTTCTATAGAATTTACACATTCGAATCATAGAAATACAAAAATTATAAATAAAAAAAGTATGAATCTGCTCCTACTTTTTAATTTAAACATTTTTATCCAATTGCATTTATTCTTCTTTCAATAATTCTAAATTCAAATATAAAACATCACAATATCATTGCTCTCTCTCTTTCGCACAAAATATTTTTAGCTGAAGATTTTTTTTTTATATAAATTTAATCCTTTAATTAAATTAAAACTTGTGATTTTTTATATTGTAATTTTAATTTTAACAATAAAAAAGCGTCCTCTCTTCTTTTTCGATCGCTGCTTAACAGCAACACTGTTGTCTCAATTTGAAGTGGCTCTTGCTTCGTAGAATTAATTTCTTCTGAGGTAAATAGCATTTCAATTTTTTCCGTCTTCTGATTCAGCTTTTACTTATTTTGAATTCTGATTATTTTTGCATTCGATTTTTCTTGCTTCTGCTACCGCACCGTGATTCCGCGATTGTGCCCTAATTCAACATCAATTTTAATTTCATGGCATCATCAATTATGATTTTATAAAGGTTTTAATTTCTTTTTAGGCGCAATGGATTGGGTCTTTGTGCATAAAACTTGGGATAAGTGGGCTTCTATCAACATTGGTTCTGGTAAGCAACATTTAGCACGGACATCTCGAACACGACACTCACAATGACGCGGCGACATCAGTAAATGGGACGTAATTACAAGTGTCGGTGCTGGTGTCCGACATTGCCTGAGGTGTCGGTGCTGATGTGTTTAATGAATTTTTGTAGACCGGTGAAATTTATTTGATCCTCATATTCTAGGTCTTCCTTTAAAAGCTGCTTTGCTGATTAATTATGACCCAACTGGACCATCTCGATTGTTATCTACCGTGTAAGTAGGATTATGATTCGTTGTGATATCAACTTTATATTATCGTTATATATGTTTTAGAAATGAAAAATAGCTTTAAATTATGTTTGGTTGATGAAATGGAATGCCATGGTACAAACTTATGTTCCATTGTTTGGATTAATTGAAAAAGATGGAATGGAGCGGAACCGGATGAAATGTTTAAGGTTTAGGGCTCTAGATGGATAACCAACATACATATTGCATATAGTCTGCATAATTGAAGCTTATATCTTTGGGTCTTGCTGAAATTTGTGTCATGTGCAACTTTCTAAAGTTTCCTGCCGGTTAGTATCCCAGTATCTTAATAGCAAGTTTTTATGTAGAAGCTAGCTGTTCTATTGAATCCACTCCCAATTTTATTGTTTTCTTTATCTTAACTGGAAGCTTTAAGTTATTATTTTGTTGGGAAAGTATTGGAAAATATATTTTTAATGCTATCAGTGGTTGAAAGGAAGATTTTTCTGTTGTTTTTAGGAAATTCTGCATGATGCCGGGTGAATTTTGTGCTCTTTTTGTTGAAGCATCTATATTTTGCATACTTGGATTCTGTTTTTGTTATTTTCTGAAACACTGGATTTACCTATTGGACCATTGAATGCTGGCAGTGCTGAACAAGAAGGAATAAAAGTCAATATCATTGAAACGAGACATTTTGTCGATTTCGTCAGACAGAGTAAGCTCCAGACAGAGATCTTCAATATTGGGTCCAATCAATGTAAGCTTGAACTTAGCTACATTTTGTTTGCCTAAATATTTAGTTACTGGCAAGGTTGTCAAGATCGAGATCTTACATAAGATCGGGAGAGAATAGCAAGATCGTATAATATAAAATTGTAGTTAAGATCGGAAGATCCTATTCAATTATTTTTATAAGATCATGAGGGGGTAACAAGGTCGTAAAACATAAGATTGCAACAAAAATTGTAAATTCTACTAAATTGAAAAAGTAATACTATATATTTAAAGTATTTTTTATATGATATATGTTAGTAGGCAAGTGTATTAGTAAGAAAATGACTCTTTTTCACATTCTTTAGACATGTATGTATGATTGAGTTTTATACTTTATTAATTACTACCACACGGAGTATTTGTTAGACATTTGGGACATTTTTGGTCAATTACTAGGATTATCATAAGTCAATTATTTAAAACAAACCCTACTAGTGAGATGTTTATTCTCTAAACCCTAAATCTAAAACTTCATCATTTCAAACGGCACGCGTTCATCACCGCCGAATCGTAATTGTTATGCTGCTGCATCTTGTCGTTCTTCTTACCTTTTAATGGTGGTGGCCAGAAAATGGCCAATCATGGCCGAAACTGGCAAAGATCGCACAAAATCAATGATTTTATGATTTTTTTTTCACAATTTGGCTACAACACACGAATCTACTTAAGATCGGGATCGTTGAGGGTAAAGTGAGATCTTAAAATCTTAAAATTTTAAGATCTAGATTGATATCTTGACAACCATTACTGCATAGTTTGGGAGAGGGAGTATTGTGGTATTGTGTTTTTCGGTTCCTTTTTATATGCCCTCTGCTGTAAGGAAATTTGCTCACTATTGAAGAACATGCGATTTTAAAGATTCTACCTCATGTGTAGATGTTGGGCTAGGGTTAGCCAGAGAGGTTAATTGAAGAACACCGTGTATATAACCTTGATGCTTATATCTAATTGTGCATCGAACCACCCGTGGGGATAATGGACTGTGTTTTTCAAAGGCAGTTGTAAACTGTACACTGCCATCTCATAAAAGCTTAAGATGTTAATTAAGGGGAGTAAAAAAAGAATTACACTTATTGCTAGATATATCTGGCGATATGCGAATAAAATGCACAGTTCTTGGTAGTTTCAGTTAGACATTTTAGCTAACTTGTAATAACTAATAAGCATAGCAGACCCATGTGTACCGTGGTGCTCTTCTTCCTTATGCATGTTGGAATTTCCGCCTTCATTGTAGTCTGTCCCTAGTTGCCTTAATTGTGGCATTTGACTTGCTTTCATTGCAGCCTTAAACACCTTCGTTGTATTGGGTTTGAAGGGTTGGATTTAGTCCCACATTGTTTTGAGATGTGGTTTGGGTTAGGTTTATAAGTGGGGGGCAATCATCACCTAACAAACCAGTTTTATAGGGATGAGTTAGGCTCAATCCACACATCATAAGACATCATGTGATACAAATCATATAGAACACATGGTGGTGCAACAATTGACCTTCACATTGAAGATACAAAGAATATTAGTTGAGGCCAATTTCATCGGCAAATACTAAATTTTATGTCGCCGTGGTAGCTTCATAGAATTCATGATGAGTAACTAAATAAATTTTGAGTTGTATGGAATTTAATTATTCTAATTAACTTCTATTTGGGGATATACTTTTCGAGGAGGGCTTCTTTAGAATTTAATGGTGACTCGTGTTTCTTGAATTGGTTTGGGTTCTGTTGAAAACAACTTATAATCAATATTATGAAGAGGGGTTGTGAAAGAAGGTTCAGGCATATAAGTTTGAATATTTATGATGTTCTGGATTTCAGATGGGGATGGGTAGATGCATGTTGTTCCATGCCTGATATTTTGATATGCATGTTAGTAGACTCTGCCCACTACTGTGGTGCATTATAGTTCTCTTTTCATACATTACTGACGTAATTTTGGATGGCAGACTTGGTCACGTCAATTCACGAGAACTGGTATAGTGCGAGGTGCATAAACACCTCAAAGCCTGCCGGGGAAGGTGCAATTGTTATGCAAACAGCAGCATATATCTTGGTTGCTCTGTAAGCATATATTTCTAGTTCAGCATGTTGATCATGGACTGCAAGTGCACTTTACACTTTATTTTCCTCTCACTTTTCATTGTATACTTATCTTTTGTTTCACAGGTATGAAGGTTCCATTGGTCCGGCATCTCGTGCTATGGGAGCTGCTGATCAGTTAGCTGCGCAATTAGGGCGAAAAAATCTTTAGAATGGTCCTCCTCCATATGACTTTACTTTTCAAGCTCCTCCAGCTGTGGCGCAGTGTTCGGAAAGACACTAATGACCCAACATAAAAGACTCTACAAGTCTATCACAGGAAGAACTTTAGAAATAGGAATTAGTTTCTGCCTACTGCTACTCAGAAATCTAACATGCAGGCTGTTGTGGCCAAGTGCATTGGTGATGTTCTGATGAATTAGTATTGAAGAACTGTAATGTATATTTAATAATTTTAAAATTATAGATTTGAATTTTGGTCTATTTAGACCAAAACTATCTTTTAATCTCCTATTTTTAAAATCAGAATTTTGTTCTTGTTATTTATACAATCTTTTGATTTTTTTAATCCTCTAATGCTCTATTGAGCTCTTCTAATCATTGTTCTGTATATGTGAATAACAGTGAATTTAAGTCTATATTTTTTTATAACATATTTGAAATATTTATCAGTCATATTTGAGTATTCTCTTCGATCTTAATTAAAAATTATGGTCAAGTTCCTGACCTATACCACACATTCGCTGTAACATGAATAAAAAACCATTCGTATTTAGAGCACTATTTATCCCAAAATTTATTTGATATTTGTGTGCTTAACTTCAAAGTTGCCACCGTTTCCAAAAGAAGTTTAAATTGAATTAATAAAATGTGTACAATTAAATTTGTGGTATAATGTTGAATTCATTTTAGAATTTTTTGAGTGATATTGTTATTTAAAAATAGAGTTAAATATTCTTTACATGTCAAATTGCAAAAATTAATTCTTTAGAACTACCATGGATAATAATTTTTTTTTAATTTAATATTATTATGTGTCTAAGGCTGAATTTGAATTCAAAACATTTAGCGAAGCTTATTCAAAAATATATTTGAATTATTTAATTAATTAAAAAATATAAAATCAAACGAAGTTTATTTAATGAACTCAAATGATGTCTATTAATTAATTAATTATTTTTTATAGTTTTGGAATAAAAATAATTTACTTTTGTAATGACAGTACAACTAATTGTTTTCTTTTTAAAATAGTGAATGAGTATAATTAATCACATGTTTTAACTCCCTTAAGCATTTAGGCATTTACGTTAATGTAGAAAAAGTTGTTTTGCATAAAAATAAGAGAGTTTAAAGGACATGCAAGAGACAAAGTTAAATAATTTTACATCATCTCACCTTAATGTTAACAAAAATAATTTTAAATTATCAAAAGGAATCTAGGTCTCACTTTTCTTTAAAGTAGAAATTCAAACAAATAAAAAAAATAAAAAATCTTCGGTTAAAATCAAAATCTCTACTATATGAGCATTTATTATCGATTTGATTTTGACAACCTCGTTTTGAACAAATTTATTTTTATATTTATTGAAAATTTTAAAATTTTTAGTATTTTAACGAAATTTTTTAAAATTTATGATGTTTTATCAAAAGTTTTAATATTTTTTATGTGAAATTTTAAAATTTTAATATTTTTTATTTGAAATTTCAAGTACTTTAACATAAATTTTGAATTTTGAATATTATTTATCAAAATCTTGAAATTTTTAATATTTTTTACCATAAATTTTCAAATTTCTAATAAAAATGTTAAAATTTTTAAAAATACAAAAAGCCGCGTATCGAAAATTTTAATTATACTATCAAAATTTTCGTTTTTAATATGTTAATTTAATATGAGTGAAATTTGAAAAGTAAAATAAAATTTTTGTTTGTTAAATAATAGCAAAAATATTTTTAAAATTTTGAAAATATAAGAGATGTCAGATAAATATAATATGGAGATGATAAGTTAAATTCACTCATTGATATTCCGCGATTATAATTGATCTAAGAGCAACTTTAATGCAGGTTTGTTAAACCAAAATTCTTTATAGCTTACGTTAGTAATAAGGAATTTGCATTATAGTAGTGCTGACATGGCATATGGGATGCTCTAAAACTAGTTTACGTGCTCTACACAAGCAACGTACTCTAACTCATCATTTAACAAAAATAATACATTTTTATTAATTATTTAAAATAAATAATAGATTTTTATTAACGATTTAATACCATGTGGGGTCAAGTTTTGGTTTCTTATAGACAACCACCATTAAAGTAAAAACTACTCAAATCAACTATAAATTTTTTAAATCCTACGAATCACTTTGGACCCATAAAAAGTATCTTAGTTTACCCATTTAGTTTACTCCCACTAAAGATGCTCTAACTTATTCCAATAACTCTATCCATTAAGAATTTCTATATTCCTTATCGTAAGAATTTCTTTTATCATAAATTTTATTTTAAATTTTTTTAAAAAAAATATCAAATTATATATCAAATAATTAAAAAAAAAACTCAAATTAAATTTACATATTCAAATCATATTTCTCTTCCTAAAATTTTCATTTTCGTAGTTTTATTCAATTACCAACATAAACCACCTTTGTATTCTACTCCGGCTGCACGCAGCCATAGAACACTACCGGCGACAAAACCGGAGACAACTCTACCAAACGCAACTTCCAAAATTCAATTCAACTTCACCGCAAGAAAATCGAAATCAAGCTTCAATGAAACCCAACATCAGAACTAGTTTTTGTTCGTTATTACTATGCTTGCTTATATGTGTTCAATTCAAACCTTCTTTAGGATCTAACAAGAGAACCGATGAAGCATACGTTACTCTTTTATACGGTGATGAATTCTTATTAGGCGTTCGAGTTCTCGGTAAATCAATACGCAATACTCGATCCAATAAAGACATGGTTGTTTTAGTCTCAGATGGAGTTTCTGATTTCGCCAAAAATCTCCTCCTTGTAATCTTTCCAATTTTGATTTTGGTTAAACCTAGGTTTTGTTATTATAGCTTCCAATTTTAACTAATTTGTGGGTTTTTTTTTGTGTGTTTATACTATAGGCTGATGGTTGGATAATTGAGCAGATTACTTTACTTGCTAACCCTAATCGTGTTCGTCCCAAGAGATTTTGGGGTGTTTATACAAAGTTGAAAATATTTAACATGACCAATTACAAAAAAGGTAATTATTTTTTGAAAATTTTAATTTAGATTGTTACTATTTATATAGATTCTGAAGTTTAGATATGTTAAATGTTATTTTATTTTATTTTAATTATTGGTATGTTATGTGATGTGAATAATATGAATTTGCAGTTGTTTACCTTGATGCGGATACTATTGTGGTTAAAAATATTGATGATCTATTCAAATGTCGGAAATTTTGTGCTAATTTGAAGCATTCTGAGAGGTTGAATTCGGGAGTTATGGTGGTGGAGCCGTCTGAAACTGTTTTTAATGATATGGTGAACAAAATAAAAACTACTGCGTCTTACACTGGAGGTGAAGCAGATTTTTCGGGCGTCGAGTTCAGATTCTATTAATTTGTTTCTTTGAATTTATTTGGGTGAAGATGATAGGGTTTTAACTATTGTCTTCTGTTTTCCTCACTTTTAACAGGAGATCAGGGATTTCTCAATTCCTATTTCTCTGGATTTCCCAATGCACATGTTTTTGATCCAAATTTGCCCCCGGAGGTGTTGAAATCCAGACCCGTTCCAGAAATGGAGAGACTGTCAACACTGTATAATGCAGATGTTGGTCTTTACATGCTTGCTAACAAGGTAAGAAATATAGGTACTTTGAAGATGGTTCTTTCATCTTAACTTAAGTAATTAGAGTCAATGAGGCGAGATAGATATTTGACCCTGTTTAAGCTTCATTGTACTTTATCTGCTTATTTGAGTTCGTTAAAAATTGAGTAGCACTGCTTGTTGTAGAGATTTTCGTTTCATTGTCTTATATTTAAGCACCTAGCCTGAATTTCTGTCTAGGTGCTGCAATGCAACCCTTCATGCGTGCTTACTTCTTCAAATCTTGAATAATGAGTTTAGTATGTAGAATATTTTATACGCACACACTAGCATGCATTCCAAATATATGTGCTTGTCTTAGCATTATTTTTCAATTCAAATTATGTATTATTCTTCTAACTGTTCATGCTGACCTGTCCAGTGGATGGTAGATGAAAAAGAGCTCCGTGTGATTCACTATACACTGGGACCTCTTAAGCCTTGGGACTGGTGGACATCTTGGCTTTTGAAACCGGTTGATGTCTGGCAGGTACATGTTCAACTAATATCATCCTTTGGCCTGTTATTAATGTTGTAAAAAACGGTTCTCATCCTCAATTTACAAAGAGGCTACACTGCCTAAGCAGTGATGTCTACCCAGTCCAGTTGAATCTTGTGTCAAAGTTTGCTGACTTATTTTTTCAGGATGTAAGGGAACGACTCGGGGAATCACTTCCTGGAACAAGAGGCGGCCAAAATCCTAATGACTATTTTCTTGTGAAATTTCTTTTTCTGCTACCATTCTGTGCTTTACTATTCTGCTGCTATCATTCATTTATGAAGGTAAGCTATCATGAATATGAGTTTATATTCTTGTCCAATCTCAAGAATTAAGCGCATAGGGCTTCAAATAAATTCGGAACACTGTATTTTCTGCAGAATCAAGAGTACTTTGGTTCATTTTTTAGAGGCTCGCTATGTGATCAAGTCAGACACCTTTATTATAAGATTAGGACAAGTGGAGCACTTGCATATACAAGTATGTCAACATCAGCAACCAATTCAATCCATCAGGTTGGTTTTCTCATTGTCTTCTGGTTTGAGGTTTGGACTCTCTCATTCGAGGCCTTCATATGACCTAGTCATTTGATTTTGACGAGGGAGACAAACACAATGCCTTGTGTAATGCCTCACAAAATCACTAGTACAGGGCCCCACATTCTTTATCATTAAATGACCTGCTCAATGTTGTCATGTCACAGCTTCAATTATCGGGTTGGACTTGTATACTTCTTATATTTTTGCATTTGCATCACATTAAATTTGTTTCTTTGGTGTCAAGCAGCTCTCAAATGGTTCTCAGTGCAAGGTTCCTACCTATCTTGGCGGTATTTCTGTCTGTGTCTGTTTAACGACTGCAGTGGTGTCCCTTGGGCTAGCTCTCTTGATTGTTCCCCGGCAAGTGATGCCATGGACTGGTTTGCTTTTGATGTATGAATGGACATTCACAATGTTTATTATATTATTTGGAGGTTATCTCCATTTGATTTATCGGTGGGGAAAATACGTGGCATCACGGGCAGCATCCTCGTCACTTCCCGAGTCTTTGGATTATGATTCTGGAAAACGTATGTTATCAAGACTTAATCTTATACCGTGGTTTTATGTTTCCTTTTAATTTTGACCCGGAGATACTTTTTACTTTTTTCAGTAAATTAATTTTATAATGTATTTACAGGTCATCAGCGACAGATGTCATCGTGTGATGTTGCTACGTGGTACTATGGTTTAGGGATGGCCTTGTTGGCCATTGGTGCTCCATCTTTGCCTTGTCTTTTTGGAATAACTGCCTTGTTTTTAAGGTAATTTGTGTTCTAATGTAGGATCTTTCCTAGAATCATATTACCATGGACTCTTGGCAATCTTGCATTTTGTATCCTTAATACCAAGTAGTTTTTATAAGAAAACTGTGTTGTTGTTGGATATTTCTTTTGAAGTTACACTAAACATTTGATTATTCTAATTGTAACAGGTTAGGCTTGATGGTTGTCGGGGGCATCATTTTGGCATCTTTCATGACATATGCTTCAGAACATCTTGCTATCAGGTCATTTCTTAAAGGACTTGATGAGTGGGATATTGCTCCAAATAGGAGCTTGTGTTTGTTATGTTGATTTTTGTAAAAATAGGACATGATGTAAACTATGGTTGATATTTCCTTCATTTTTACGTCTTTCAGCTTAGATATGTATTGTTGTTCTAGTTGAAGATGTATATAAATGAATTTTTGTATATCTGGCATTGTATTTGCCGAGGTTTTGTTGTAATATTATTGTTATTTATTTTTGCAAAATAGTTATCCATGGTTAACCTTTCATGACATCCTTCAAATTTCAAAATCTAGTTATCCTTAGCAGCTTTTACAGAACTGTGTGCCTATGCACTTTGTGATTTGCAAGTTATTATTGTATTCATTTGTTCCCGGCATCAAATGCCATGCCAAGTTGTCATTTTGTTACAACTCTGAATGACAGCACTTCTAGCATGAACTAGTAATTACACGTTGTCCTTCTTTCTTTCTGCAAATATTTTGAAAAAAAAAATGAAAGAAAGAAAAGGAATGCTTAAATATGTTTGTATCAATATTGTTATAACTTTTTGTAAAAAATAAGAGACCACTTTAGAAAGAAAAAAAATAATGCCAAATTTTTTATATTTCTTGAAGTTGATACGAATATTCTATGGATTATGAAATTCAAAACTGTTTTTGAGACTTTTGAATTGCGGATTACTTCTCCCACATTAACCTCTCAAATTTCTTGAAGTTGACAAAAATCTTCCATGGATTATGAAATTTTAAACTTGTTTTTTTTCTAAGACTTTTGAAATGGGGATTACTTACCTTAAAAAAAGTAAAATTCAAAATACCTCTCAAATATAGAAATATATTTTCGGACATATCAAAACGTACAAAAATTCAGAAATATATTTTTGGAAATTGTTGTGCTTAAAAATCCAGACACATAAGGAGAAACAATAGCAAAAATTTAACATAAATTAACCTCAAGTATTGTTATGGCATACATTAAAAACAGAACATTGCATAGATAATCGTCAACATAAATCTTAGGAAAAAAATAAGACAAGCTCAATTTTCAGATGTAGATTTACAATCTATGATTGAAGATCTAGGATTCACCTGATTGGTAGACAATATTTTTTTTATTTAACTAGAGAATGTGTGTACTAGATGATCTAGAATTGAATAGGGTAATTCTGGAAGAGACTCACAAAGGTGATTTTACCATTCATCCTGGTTCTTATAAGATGTACCATAATCTGAAGAACTTATGGTGGCACATGAGGAAGAAGGACATTGCAGAAATTGTAACCAGATGCATAGTATATCTGCAAGTAAAAAATTAAGCTTCAACAACTGAGTGGTATGTTGTAACCATTAGAGATACCTAAGTGGGAAAACATCTTTATGTACATCATAGTGGGGTTACCTGGTACGCTTGGTGGCCATGACTCGATTTGGATGATAGTGGACAAATTAACCAAGTCGACTCATTTTTTACCTGTCAAGACTACCTATAAGATTATTCAACTAGCAAGGCTCTCCATTTCATAGATAGTGCAACTCTATGGCGTATCAATCAGTATCGTATCTGACCGATACCCGAAGTTCACTTCTAGGTTTTGGAAGGATTTTCATCATGCAATAAGAACTAAGTTGAATCTCAGTACCTCTAATCATCCTGAGTCTAATGGGCAAGCGGAAAGAACTATCCAGACCATCAAAGACATGTTACATGCGTGTATCTTAGAAAGTGGAGGAAGTTGGAATCAACATTTGTCATTGATTAAGTTTTCCTATATAAAAAGTTATCAATCGAGTATTGAGATGGCACCGTATGAGGCATTATATGGAAGAAAGTGTAGGATGCCTTTATGTTGGGCGGATGTTGGAGACAGGAATCCTAGGGCCAAAAATAATTCAAAAGACCACTCAAAAGATAAGAACTATTCAAGAAAAGGTGAAGAAGACTCAAGATTGACAGAAGAGGGAGATCGTGTATTCTTGAAGGATATCCCTAAGCTGGGGATAAAGGGACTGATTAAGACAAACAAGATGAATTTGAGGTACATTGGACCTTACCAGATCATAAGTCAGGTAGGTGAAGTGGGCTATCAACTGGCGTTACCACCTTCCTTACCGGACTACATGATGTATTCCATGTATCTTAACTCCGAAAATTCGTATCAGGTCACATTCAACCTACTCTTCCAGATAAGATTGACGTTGCAATATGCCTCATTTTTCGACTGCAACCTAGTCGCATAGTGGATTGTGCAGTGAGATCTCTAAAGAATAAGGAGATACCACTGGCAAAGGTATTGTGGGAAGAGTCACACCCCGGCGAAACTACATGGGAGCTAAATCAGAAATGCAGACTGACTATCCTTACCTTTTCAGGTAGTTCTTTAAATTTCGAGAACTAGACTTCAATTAAGAGGGGAGTGTAATATCCCTCGTTTCCTAATGTTTATTAGTAGAGATAACTAAGAGAAATCAATAGCAAACCAAAAAGCTTAAAACCCTAATGACCATAGTGACATGGTTACTAAAAATTGATGGTTAGATCCAAAAGTGAGTATATAAGTCCTATTTTGTTAGCAAACCACCATTTTCTCCATATCCTTCATTAAAAAAATTAGGGGAGAGAGAGATAGATAGATAGATAGATAGATAGATAGATATATAGATAGATAGATAGATAGATAGATAGATAGATAGAGAGAGAATTTGATCAAGTGTGGAAGACTCCTTTGCATGTTAGGAATTTCGAGTCATTAAAAAAGAAACATGGAGAGATTAAAGGGATTTCATCCAAGGTTCAACAACCATCACTTTCACCTACTTCAATTCAGAATATACCATACAAAATATGGGGTTTCCTTTAAGTTGAATTGGGTAGATCAACGTAGATTTCTTGAATGTGGGGTTAGAGGATTGATATTCATGACATCATGCATGTTTTTACTTGAATTGTAGTTTCATGTGTGTAAATTTATGTTTTCCATGCCTTACATGTTTTTTTTTCATTATTGCACATTGGATTATTGTTTGAAAACTTGTCCGGATGCAGGTGAGAAATATTGAGAAACATGTTTTATAGGCAACATTACAGGTCGTATTACCCATTACAGGTAGCCCGCAATGATCCTTGGTTTTGATATGGAGGGGGGAATGAGAGCCATTATGGGTTGTAATGCCCATTACAGGAATCTCATAATGGTCTTAGTTTTTATTATGGGAGGGGGGATCTAGCATTATTACGACTCGTAATGACCAATAGGGTCAGGTCGTAACCATCCCATTTCTCTTCTTTTCTTCATTCCTCTCAATACTAGTTTGTGAGTTTGATGCATTCATCTATTACTATGATTTATAGGTTATGGTTGTTGTTACTTGATTAGAAGTAACATGTAATTCATCTAGGATAAGTAATAATATCAATTAAACAAGGAGTCTTGTTGAATCATATGATGTTTATTTAAATGATCAAGCAAAGAAAATTGGATGATGTGAGTAACTTTAGGATGACTTATGATCAAGATAGTAATAAGACCTTGGGCATGTAGCCATATTCTGAGATAGTGAGTGTCCATGAACATTGGTTTCGAAAGAAATCAAGTACATACATGTGATAAATATTAAGAGTCCTTAGCATACATGAAGTGTCACTCGTAATCAGAATGACAATCAAGGAAAAGGTTGTAGGTCTCACTGAAAATCCAGCCTTAGTGGAAAAGATTAGTAGGAAGTCTCTGATACCATAAGTTAGGCTTGTCATGAGAAGTGCTAGTTGATGAAAGTACGTTCCTCGGGCCTAACCCTCTTATTAAGTGAACATAGTGTATAAACCGAGACTATAATTATTCATCCAGCATATGAGACTATTTAAGTCTCGATCCACTCCTATTTTATTAGAAATTTGCAATTGCTAGAATCTGATTATATTTGAGTAGTCTTAGAAACCTTTTGACTGAGAGGACTTATCATTTAGCAGGGCCCCACTGAGATAGTATTATCTCACCACCTCTTCCCCCATTGTTGAATATTTTAGATGAGCAGATTTCAGGCAAAGGAAAGATTAAGGCGACTCAAGGAGCTTGAAGTTTTCTTATTATAGCTTTCGTTATGTAATTCGGTTGTATATAATTTGGTCTTTTCCTATAAATCATTCCACTCTTACAAGCCTTGTGCTTAAGGGAACGTGCAGAATTAGATAATTTAAGCCTAATTTAAACTCGAACTCGAAAGATTCCACCCCAACTTCTAACTTTTCTAATAAGGCATGTCCTAGTTAGGTTAACTAACGAACCAAGTCAATCAAGTCAGGCCATAACCAGCATAAATGGGTTATTCAAATTAAGGAACAAGGGACAATGCATTTGTGAGTGAATTAAGGAGATCGTGACTGGAAATCTAACATTAAGAATCACCAATATGATCCATGAAAAATTAGATAATCCTCTTAAACAACCTTTATGGCTCTTAAGTATGAAGGAAACCAAAGCCATTGTATAAAGAATGCAGTCATAGAGGAAATGACAAACTTTTTATATAACTTAATCCATACTTTTGACTTTGACTGACTCTGCATGGTGGAGTGATCAGTTAGTATACTTTATGTGTATAATACTACATATTAATTTTTATTTTACAACTATTTTGACGATTTATTTTTACATTTTTTACTTCATATTTGTTATAGTATTTTCAGCCTATCTTTGTTTAGAATTTTGAATTTTAATAAATTAATCACTAGTTTTTAATTTGTCATTATCTTTAAAAATATATATCAAAATTCACATTGAGATTTTTAATGTCGTAAATACTATATACCATCTTTAAATTTGCATTCCTATCTCACTGATTTTGACAAACGTGTAACAACCTATAGTGGATAAGGGATGTCAGAGGCTTTAGTGTGGTTATCGTATTGAGAGATTGCCCCTGTGAGGTGAGAAGCTATTATATCTATGTATTTATGTGTAGTTAGGTTGTCCCTCCAACATTACCATATTGATGTACTTATAGTTCCAGGAGTTTGAAATCGAGTTTTTCTAGAATGTAGCAACCATTTAGAAATGGGTAGTTGAT